CAACCATTGAAGGCTGGCTTTTTGGAGCTGAGAATTGGCAGCAACAGGGGAGATCATTGGGCGAACTTCAGAAGAGATCGACATCATCCTTCAAGGAAGATCATCTTCAACGTTCGGCAACAGGAGCTTCCTCATCCTTGGCTATTAACCGATTTTCGGTTTAAATCAACTCTTTTTCAAGAGTTAAAACTCGTTCAGAGTTATCAACTCGTTCAGAGTTCTAAAACTTGCCACGCAAGTTCTTCACAACGTCAAATCGTGAGGAGAAGACATCGTTCTAGTGAATCAAGACGTGTGGATCGTCAACGGAGAGTAAACTCGACGCGATCATTCGAGGGAGGCACTCCATCGCCACCGTGAAGAACCCAGTTTTAAACAAAGGGGAGAATCAAATTCATTCTCCTCTCTTTTGTAATCGGAATCAAAATTATAATTGATTTTGAGAGGAATACAAGTCAATTTTTCTTTCATTGTCTTTTTACTGCAATTTTCCAACAAACAGACAGTGAGAGAGAGAGAGACCTTTAGATGACTTGGAGTAATCTACAGAATCTTAACAGCCTCGAAGATCGTTCTATGGACCAATGCTTTTATGATATTTCGAGGTCAATTGGGAAGTGTTCATTGTCGTACCACATATTGTTGCAGAGCAAAAGTCATATAAGGATATTATTTCTGAGTTTGCAGCGAAAGAATGGAAAGTAACGATGGATGGGGAGCTTGAGTTCATGAGGAAGAATCTTGTCTGGGACTTGGTGAATCTTTTAATTGAATGCAATACCACTAAAAATGAACAGATCTTTAAGGTCAAGTAGGATGGGACATTCAAGCAATGCAGGATATGCTTGATGGTAAAAAAGTACACCTAAGTAGCAGAGTGGACAACCAAAAGAGACATTTTTCTTCAGTAATGAGAATCGATTTTATTCCCACGAGATTGACTCTTACAGTGTAAATAGATCAGAGCTAGTCCAGATGGGTATCAAGACAACTTTTTCCTATGTAAAATTGAAAAAAGTGATTTATGTGGGTCAACCTATGTTTCATAGCTAAGGGACTTGAGCACAGCATGTACAAGTTAAAGGAACCTATATATTGTTTGAATTAATTTTCCAGCATGTAGTGTTTCCTATCCTATTGAACAATGTTGGGTCATAGTTTCTAGATGAGAGATTAGAATGGTAAGGTCCATCTATATTAAGCTGATAGAAGTTTGAGATCTGTCATCGTATACTGATGGAATATAGTTGGCCGGGCACAACATGGAGACCATTGAGACTCCAATCGCTAAAAGTCATACCTAAATTTAGAGCAACGTCCTAATACTAAAGCATAGAAGAAGTGGATGTTGATTATCTTTTATAGGAATGTAGTCGGTAGTCATGTATGTGTACAAGCCTCGACACATCCTTTGCAGGAGGACTGATGAGTAGACATCGGTCCAATCTTGATATGACTCATCAAGATAAGTCAAGAGGATTTTTAGATATTTAATTAAGACTACACTTGATGTATTACGCTATGACAGAACGAACTCTCACCTATAGAGATACTAATAATCTGAGTGGGTGTGTGTCAATGTCTAGTTATGCTCCCTTACTGAATGATGGAGTCATTTATTGGAGTGGTAAGGAGCAATAGTATATAGTCATTTTTCACTTGGAGCAGAATACATGATGATATATGCAATAGTATTAGATGCATTTGTTTGCATCGGAAACAATTTTCATTATAGCTTCCATTAAAACGTTTTAACAAAAACAAGTGAATGAGGTTTACACATGTAAATGCCCTCTCTTTACAATGAAACAAAATTTGTGTTCCCTAGAAACACACGTAGAAACTCCTATGTAGTAGCCTCTGCTTGCGTGAGATCTTTGCATGTGCCGAGGATACGTAATCCGTGGACCACCAAATCAATGTTCCAAGCCGGAAACGAAGAAGGTTGAAAGTTGATATTTAAACGTGGAAACAAGAACTGAAGTGAATATCTTAGCAAAGTAAGATGAACACTCTTCTCGAGAATAAGTCAAAGCTTGAATTTGAGGAAACACTAAAAGACTCTTGAGATTGCTTGAAAGTGGTGAATAACTCTCTCTCTCTCTCTCTCTTATGCTCAAAGTTCGCCAAAAGCTCGTCTCTGCTTCCAGATTATCATCAGTCCCTCTGTATCACGTGCACAAGTGTGCCAAGGGATATGTATAGCCATTGGAAGCCGTAACCGTCGAAAAGAAGTTAAAACAACTGATGATCACTACCTCCTTTAGGCAAGGTAGTGTTTACTGTCTCGGCTAAAGGAGACTGTCTCACCAACTGTGAGACAGCTCTGTGTCCCTTTGAGTTGTCGTTTTGTATTCTTCTTTGCTTTCTTTTGCTTTGGCTACTCTTCTTTGACTTATATGATGACGTTCTTCATCTTCTCTCAGTCTTGAGCTGTGTTTAGGACCTGTAGGTAATTTTTGATGCCTACAACAGTCTAGTTGTATATATTCCTAGAGAATTTAACTATAGTGACATGTAGAGAATGATGTGATTCTCTATCATGATAGCATGTCGATTGCTGGCTGTATGATAGGCCAAAATTAGTTTGGGAAATCAAAAAATCTAGATCATGTACCATTTCCTTAAGAACTAAGAGGAGAGGCTATGCTAAGTCTATCATATAAGTCAGTTGATCAGGGATATACTGATAAAGGGAATAGCTGAGAAGCTACTGGTGTAGCACACTTTAGCTTTAGGGGCTACATCTTTAATGATGATTTTTTACTTGAGATCTCAAACGCTTAGGTTATTCTGAATGACGGATTTATAAGATATTATTTTTTATTTGATTGTTATTTTCTCATCTATATACGTACATGTGATTGCTTGTGTCTTATTATTGCTTGATTACCATGGAATGGAGTAATTAATATTTGACGTGTACAGGTGTACACAAAGGCACTGGGTGCACCATTAGAAAGTTATATCAGTAGGTGAGAACTTTTATGACACAAGAGATCCTGTTTGGAGCTTCGGAGCTGTGGCAGTTGCTGAAGCTGAGACCGAATGCTGGATGTCATTTAGCTTAGAGCAATGACTACTCTATTGTATTACTTATATATTGAAGCGATCGAAGTGGGAACCTTAAGTCCATTTTACCTATTTACTATTTGCCATACTAGGGATCTAACTTGGCGCACAAGATGCAGGCTTGTTGGGAGATTCCAGACATATCTTGAGGTGATATAATGGTCGGACAAGTTTATTATGGAGCAATGGAACTTGGGTTTGCATGGTATTCATTTAATGACGTATGCCCTCATGGAAAGATAAGTAATACAATAAGACGTTGCCATGCGATGTGTGTTTGGATTGGATATAAGGAGGGTTGAGGGATGGATTCCTACTCCCTCACTGCGTAAACCCTTATAAATGACCACCAGTAATGGAGGGTAGTCATTGTACCCTTAGAGACACTAGGCTATCTAGGAAAGCTGTTATGAGCATCTGCTATTTTAGCTGCTATTTCTTACTACAATGGGATAATATCATACATACTGGATAATGTCAGGAAAGCGGGTGATTAGCATACTCAGCTATTCAGGGTCAGAGGAAGATCGATTGACATGTCTCCTGATTGCATCACATGCACAACCCTTATTTACATCAGGGGCAAGGTTTTAAGAGTGGGATGAATCGAGGGTAGATTCGAGCGTTCATGTACGCTTCTTCAAGTGATCAAAGATACTTGAACAATATGATTAATCAGATCTAGGGTATGAGATAGTGCATACTTACAATTTTATTTGTATAATTTAATTTCTTTGGGAGATCCTTGTGTCGGTCCTAGCAGATCCGGCTGGAATGCTACCCAATTACAGGTTCTTAATTCACATTGCATTGATGATGTATGAACATAGCATTGATAAGGAAGGAGAATCTCAGAGAGATTTTGACTCGCGGAATCACTAGCTCAGGGAGTCGGTATAGGAAGCGATAGATGACTCTCACCCATTTGTGCGAGTGGGAGTGTGTTAGTAACTGGTGTGATCTGCCCAATTGAGCTGGGGATCCTAAGTGGGCTCAAACTGGTTCTTTAGTGAACTAGTTCCAAATCCTAAAGGGTTAGGGTTTTGTTCTCTAGTCTCTACATATATGCACTTATGTAGAGATTAAAGAGTGAGATAAAAACATACTATTGTCATCTTCTTCCTCTCCCAATTCTATAATTTACGCGTTAGTCGCGGGGTGATATGCATGGGCTTCTCGTCGTATCGGTGTGGTCGTCCTCTAACAATTGTTCGAAGATCAATATTAGATACGTGGGGATTCTTTCAAAAGATTCGGGAAAGAAAACCTCTAAACAAGAGATTTATCTATTTTTATACATAATTATGTGTGGTTTACACATGGATTGGTTGACGTGTCATCAATTAAAAAAAATGATGTTGCTTTCGTAGAGTGAGATTCTTTGTCTCTAGTTTTTTTATTTCACGGAGGATGCTCAAGTGCATTGGTACGTTCGTCATATTCTGCTTCAATGCAGAGATATTTTGTTTGGTATCACAATATGTTTTTTAAGAGAACAATCCCTCTTATGTTTGGTTCGGTATAATGTCCTTCCCTTGTATATATTTTTCTAATTAATTAATAAGTTTTTCATGGCTCGCGAGGGTCCAGGGTAAAATTCCAAAAAACAAATAAAAAAATAGAAAATATATAAAACCATGATATTATATATTATAGACGAAAATAATATGCAAATGCACTTTTCCCAGCGCAGTTCCCGTAACAAGACACGAATAATAAGACAACGACAACTGTTTTTTTTTTAAAAAAAGTTGGGGAAAGGTTAGAGTTTGGAAATGAAAAGAGCATGATTCTTTTTCCCGTTCCCTCGTTTCTTTTGTTTTTTTCTTTAGCATTTCCCGCTGCGCAAGTGCAGAGAGGGCCCCCCCCAATATTTATCCGCTCTCATTTCCCCAGCTCTTCGTCTCTCTCTAGAAGCACAAGTAAGACCCCTCTCCCTCTCCCTCTCGTTCTTGAATTAGGGTTTTGAGGTCTCCAGGCATTTGATCTACAAATTAGGGCTTTGTTTTCTCCCTCTAATTTCTGCTCATTGTCGGCTTCAGCGTTTCGAATTGCTCTTCGGTAGGGTTTTCGTTCTGGGTTGAAAATCGAAGGACCTTGTCCTTTTCGAATTTTGGGATGCTAGTTTGTGATATTGTGTTTGTTTGATGAATTTTGTAGTTATGATCACTGCATGCATGATGTTAAATTTCATTGATGCGATGATTTAGGTCAAAATGGCAAATAAGGTTTTTTTTTTAAAAAAATTCGTAATGTGGATGTGAAATAGAGGGATTTGCTTCGACCTGTTGTGTGCTTTTGTTGGGTTTGTGATGAATTTGTTAGAATGCAAAATGGGTAAATTCACAAAACTCCCGAACTTTGAAGCGCTTGCCATGAAACACACTCGAACTTTGTCTACTCCCACTAAACCCCCACCCCCACGAAGTTTGAGGTGTCTCGCATAACCCTAATAAACTTTCAAGTTTTCCCAATAGATCCCCTTCTATAAATGACAATTAACTAGAACGTCCGCGAGAGATAAAACCCTCCATTCGAGGGAGGGATTTTTGCTGCATGTTAATGGCATATGACTAGATTGGGTTTCTTTCTTCCAAGAACATATTTTTATTTGCATGCATGTGGGGGGTCCGTTGGGAAAATTTGAAAGTTCAGGGGCCTTTTCGTGAGGCATTCAAAGTTTTAGGGGGATTTTGTAGAAAAAAGTACCAAGGGGTTTCATGGGAAAACCCCAAAGCTAACTGGGGTTTTGTCATTTTACCCATGTAAAATGATAACCCTTAATCCTCATTACAATTTCAGACTTTTGATGTAGTGGGAGGGACCTTTCACATTGTGTCAGAGCAACCCAGGTTGCAAATCCCACCAACTACAAGTTTAAAGTGGATTTAAAATATAAATACCGATGCATGAGTCCAGGTTTATGCCCATGAAAAGAGCGCTCAACCAGCAAGTGCATGTTTGAACATAAAATTGTGATCCTCAACCCTCACTCCAACGAGTTTTAGTGCAATGGAAGAGACTTTAACATAGTGTACAAGTCGAAGGTTAGTTATGCTCGAAGATGAATTTTTTTGAAATGTCTATTGCACATTCAAAATATTAAAAGTTTCATATTAATAATTTGCGTTACGTTGGTATGATGTTCAAATGTAGGATTTAAAAGGAATCAAATTGAATACTGAGGTCTTCATGTTTGTATGTATCTTCAAATTTGATTTTTCTTCTCTAATTTTATTGGAACCTGAATCCAAACTTGAATATCTTTCTAATATTCATCGAATATTGAAATATATTTATTTGATTAATATTCTATTGTTTATAATAATTAATTTATTAGTTTTTTTTCAAGATATTGGTTCTCCAAATCACTAGCAGTTTGAAATAATCCTCTTAAATTGATGTTTAGAAGTAAGTCCTAAACCTTTAGGGCTTGTTTGGATTGGGGTTAATGGGAGGCATGGGAACCTTGTTTGGGAACTTATTTGTGTTAGGTAATGGAGGAGAAGTTAAAGTAACTAAGGTGAGAAAATCTAAGATTTTACTCCCCCAAATTAAGGTGTAACCAAGGGGAAGTTACGGTAACTATTACATAAAAAAAGATAATTTTACCCCTCTATAAAAAAAGAGTATTACATGTGCAAGGTTATTTATGTAAATTTAATATATTCCCTTCCCTTTATTTTATTAAACATTCCAAAGGTGGTGAAATAAGTTCCCATCAGTTCCCCTTACTAAATCCCCAAACAAGTTTTTATGTTACATAAACTTCTCTTAACTTCCCTCAACTAGGAGCAGATCCAAACAGGCCCTTTTAGAATACATCTAGTTTGATGTTAGGTAGTAATCGAGTTAGGTTACTATCCAGCTAGATTAAATCCTAACTGGAGTTAACTCCCTCCCCATCGTGCTCCCCCCCCACCCCCCCCCCACCCCCACACCCATTCCATCAGAAGTGCAGCAGACCGACATGTGGCACAGATTGTCTGGCAGTTTTTGGATGAAGTTTAATGACGGTTTTTAGAGACAGTCTGCGGTTGATGGTGTTCGACAAAGTCCAGGGATGCTGCTGTCACTCGTATCGGTGAGCTCATAATGAGAACCACGCATGCAGCAGGGCCATTAGGTTTGTAAGTTGAAGTAACATACATTTGCCATAAGAATTGACTTGGTCTAACTTATAAGATTCGGGTGCTTGTTTATAAATATTAACATTTTGGAAAGGTATTTCAAAGTATTGATGATTTGATGGACCGATATCTTTAAAACTGTGAGCTATTTAATTAATGAGATAATTTTTATTTGGTTGAAAAGATGCTTTCATTTGGCTAAAGAATTTGATTTTTAAATAAGATTAACTTTATAATTGGAAATACTTCCTTTATTACAGGGCAAATTGCAAATAATTCCCTCATCTATACCTGTAGTGTAAATTGCAAATCATTCCTCATCTATACTTATTACCCCTTAACTTAATTATTAGCACTTATTAGCCCACTATTTAGGAGGAAGAGGATAGTTAATCTGCAATTTATTCTTCTACAAATACCAATCCAAGGGCGATAAGTGCTAATAAAATAGTTAAAGGGTGATAGTGCTACTGAAGTTATAAATGTGGAGAGTTAACTACAATTTACCCTTATAATTATGATGTACAAATCTATAATTTGAATATTTGGCTAAAAAAACTGATCTGGGGCTCTTATGTCTCTCAAAATTAGCATAGGAGCTAAATTTAAAAAATGTGAGCGGTATCAAGATGTATAGTCATGTGTGTAATAACACAACGGATCTAGTTATAAATGAATATTGATAATAAAGCAAATTGAATATTTAATTTTCATATTTGATTAGTTTAATATTCAAATACTATAAGTTGTTTGATTTCTCATAAATGATCTCTTGAATCACATTTGAACAAATAATTAGACAAATAGTTATCAAACTATTTTATAAATATTCGATCAACTTTCACTCCTAGTCAAAAGACTATTGTATGGGCTAGGATTATAGTTTGAGTTCTAATTGGTTCTTTCCTAATCAAACATTATTTGTGTGTCTTGCCTCCTTTTTTATGCTCTGTCTTCTTTATGGGCATTCTGGAGAATTGCTCCTTAGTTCTATGAGCATAGAGTATATGGTAAAATAGGCTAGATCTGCTTACATTGATGGTAGGTGCTTTATGATTTTACCGTTGGTGTCTGATAAAATTGCCCTTCTGCTCATTAAGTCTTATGTTAGGTTGGAAATCAATTAAAACTTCATGGTTGTTCTGTTGCATCTTTTTCAAGAAATTTGACACTGATCACAGTAGTTTTTGTTAGGTCAGAAGTCAATTGAAAGTTCATGGTCGATTCCTTCATAGGTCTTTCTCAACTTTGAGTTATGCTCCACGACCAAGCACATTTGTGCGAGGTAAACTTCCAGATATTTCACTTGGTGGGATGGTTGTTTAAGACTAAAACCAGATAGTTGTGACAGAAGTTGATGACAGACTCTATTTAGGGGTTGTGACAGAAGTTGATGACAGACTCTATTTACTATTTAGGTGTTTTATGTTAGAAGGGCCACAATATCATAATTATCTTTGTAAATGTAATTGCCTGCGTGTATGTGAACCATTTATTGTGATTTAGGATGTGTACGCTATCTACTAAACAGACTTTGTCCATTAGCTTTTAAAATGTGCAGTCCTTTCATCGGTATTACTCTATATTGACATTATCCCATGAGATACATGCTTTTTCTGGTCTTTTTTTAATAAATAAATATTTGCGCTAGACTTACTTTGAGACTTTTGAACTACTTCGAGAAAATTAGCTTGGAGTTGAGGTGATGGCATGAATTATTACCCTCATACACGTATTACTAATCTTGAAGAAGCACCAAAAGCTAATATGCATCACAAACATAAGTTGCTGCATATGAGCTTGAGCAATGCGTTTTACATATTTTGGTTTAGTTCCCTTTTATCATTGCATTAGAAGAGTTTTGAAACATAGTCTTGCAGTTAGAGCAGGACTGTTATTCCCCACCAGCGAAGCTTAAATTGGTAACTTTGTGCTGTACTGACCTGCATTTAGGTCTTATTATCACAGAGCAGAGTTAAATTTATATGTGTACTTGTTGTACAGTTAAATTTGTATGTGTACTTGTTGTACTCCATCTTAGGATAATCAATTAGTGCAAAAAAGCACTAAATTTGGAGCTGTCAGGTTATTATAATTATTTCATGTATATTAGCTACTAATGAGGTTCCTTTGCAGATATTGAAGTGTAGAGTGCGCTTGAACAGCTGTGACGCTGTCAAGTCAAATTGCTTATCCTACTTATGCTATCTAGGTAAGCACTAAGAAGAGTAATGATAATTGATAATCTTGAACTCACGTATTCTTTTCCTATTTAGGTGTGATATTTTTATCGATTCAACAAATTGAAATATATACAAGTGCTCTGCTGTTCCTCGGAAGAAATGCACTTATCCGCTACATGACAAAATATGCCCCACCATGACTATGTCCTTGTTATTTTGAAGTCATCAGATTAAAAGATGATGTTTTCTCTCATGCATGCACTACACACACATTGGGTTGGGCGTGGGCCGGGTCGACCCGTGGGCTGACCCGGCCCTACCCACCATGGGTCACAACTCACAACCCGGCCTGGCCCGTCCTATAGTAGGTCGGGCCTGACTCGGTCCATGATATATACCCGGGTCACGGGCAGGCTGGTTCCAGCCCTAGGCCTGGGAAAGAGAAGTAGTCTCGGCCCATGCTGGTTTGGCTCACGCCTGACCCGACCCGCTTGGCCCATGATGTATTTTTTTTGAAATTTCATTCTAACACTAAATTAGCCCATCTTGAAAAAAAAAATATAAACCTAGCGCTTCGCTTATCGGGTTGAAGAGTTAACGATGACTCTTTTTATTTGGGCTATCTGGGAAACTTTTTCATAGTTTTGTATGTGAGGTTTTCCATAATGACCCTCGTTTTGTATGTTTCTTGCAAGATGCAACACTTCTAGTGTTTGAATGAATAATATTTTTAGGGAAAATTGATAGGTGGCCCATTTCGCTTAAAGTGAAGCAAAAGATAGTATAGTGACAAAACTGATGAACCTCATCATTCATACATATTTAAGTTTATTTTGTGAACTGAGATGTACCTCGTGTCTCTTTTTAGGAAAAGGAAACTAAATCTTTTTCACAATAATTAGCGTATTTGTATATACAAAGACATGTGAAATTAAAATTAATTTTTCATCTGAACAAATCTGTTAGTTATGTTGTAAAGACTCAATGTTTGTGACTTAGTTATATGTATCAGCATAGGAAATATGATTTAGCAAGAAAATAAAGACAAATAATCTCACCAAAAATTTTGAGTTACATTTTTTATGTCTTACATGATATATTTCAAAATTTCATATAAAGTAATAAAGATATTATAATATTTAGTAGAATAAATATGAAAAAAGTTCATAAGTAGTGGTATTCAATGAGTAATCGTATAATATATTTATCTTTATAGGGAAAAAAGTTCATTCAATAGTTATTTTTTATAGATGGTTTTATGGGTGTAAGGGATACAACTATATATTTTGTTTCCATCCTTGGATGATATTTTGTACAACCTTTTTTAGTCATAGTTAGTGCTCATGAATAAAGATTTTGTTAACAAGTCCTTTAAAAATATATTAACGATTAATGCTTCTATTACAACAAATAGATGACATTTATTTTCAAACAAAATATAGTTTAAATATTAATACAAGTAAAGATAGAAAAGAAAAAAAACTAAAAGGGAAAAAATACGGGCCAAGGGTCGACCCGTGACCAAATCGCATTGGTCCAGGTCGGACATAGCCCAGATTCGTAGTGGTCATGGGTCGAGTTGGGTTAAGTCCTAGGCTAGGGTCAGAGAAGTAGGTCCGACCCATGTTGAACTGGCCAAGCTCGGTCAGGCCTGGGCCGGCTTAAGTGTGACAGGGCTAGTTCACGGGCCTAAACCGGCCCGACCGACGCTCAACCCTACAAGCACACACTATACATATACATATACATACACACACATATATATACAAATGCGTGTGCACACACATATGAGAAAAATGAGTATCCTTGGTAATAAGGATATATTTGGTCCTTAGTAGTGATGTGACACATTCTCATCCACACATTTAAATGTGCCCACTTGAAAATAGTCTCATCTTGTTTACTCACCCACTAGATGTGGGATGCAAGGTGGTGGCCACTGGCCACTTCACCATCAAGGACCAAATTTGGTCATTGGTATCAAAGATACCCATATTCCTCTACAAAAACACCACACAAGCCTCGACTATATCAATAATATTCTTCCATTTAACTCTATTAAAGACTTATCTCCTCTATTAAGTTAACGACTATCATATACTTCTTAGTTGTGTCTAATGGAGTTTTCTTTGGTCTACTTCTAGTCCTTGGTCTATGAATTATATAATTATCAACAGCACTTGGTGTGTTCAACGGCCTCTGTTGCACATAACCAAATTAGTTCATTTGATTCTCTCTCATTTTATTCTTGACAGAAGCAATCTCTAAAGTTCTATGGATGCACCTCATTTCTTATCTCTTATTGTATATTATCCAGCTTAAAATTGTTATTTTTGCACATGCTGTTTCTAATTGCCCAACATTTTGATACATAACAATTTCCAATTTATATATGTTCTATATAACTTCCTTTCAGGTTCATTGCTAATCTACAATCACATAGTACTCCAGAATCACACCTCTACTTTATATATGAATATTGAAATATTTCTCAGGATCTTCCATGATTAGTTATAACATTTTGGATTTTTTTTTTAAGTACAGGGTTAGTTCTCAGTGTGAGAACCCCATCCTTAACACACTACTGTTATGATACCTAAGCCGTAAACAAAATCGTCTGCTAAGTTATGCAGACACTTCATCTAGGCTCCCAGTATCCTTTCCGACACTTCCGGTATCCATGACCATGTCCGATAGTACTTGGATACTTCTTGAATATTTACATGCATTTATTCAGACATGTACTCAATTACACAATACATGTTTTAAGTTAAGATGCTCATGATACGCTTCTTGGATGTATGTCTTCCACTTCGCCTCAAATTTATGCAACTCGTTAGAATCGGGTTAGGATCGTTTCAGCCTGTACCCAATTCATAAGTATGATTTTAAAGAGTCATTTGTGTATCTAGTTAAAAAAACGAGCGATTTTTCGATTTATAATGTACATAAAAGAAACATAAAAATGTTATAGGGATTTTGATTCTCATAACATATGAATTGAAAAGCAATATTGATCTCATGTAAATTATTAATTTCAATGTCTATATATAGCCGTGTCCCTGTATCCTACCTTTTATAAATTTTCCGTGTCCCGCGTCCGACCCATGTCAGTGTTCGCACCCACACCTGCACGGGCTACATCTCTACCCCTGCAACTTAGCTCTTCTGCTTTCTCTATCATTTTTATTTCAATTTGAATCATATTTATGTAGTTGAATATGTTTTACCTATAAATTGTTTTTGTCCCTCGTGCAATTAAATTAATGTGAGATACATTTTTTTACTGATGGTGGTTACGAGAAGATAACTAGTTAGAAATGTAAAAAAGGTTCTTAATATATAGTTATGTCATCAGGCTCTAGGTCTTTATCAGGCGGGTATTTGTAACGATCCTACATTTCCTACTTAATATAAAATTATTATTATGCCAAGTCCCAGGTGTATTTCCAACGATATCGCTAGTTTTCAGGAAGCTCAACGAAGAAGTAGTCATGTGTTCTTTATGAACTATTCCTTATCAAACTTGAGCAAAGTTTGGTGTTATCCAAAATTTCCAGTCCTGCAAATGGTTAAGCTGAAAGTTTGATCTGCATGTCCAACCCATTTTAGGACCTGATTCAGTATCCCATATCTAGATCTTATTTTTGTTGAATTTGAATGTCATAATTTATTTGAGGTCTATAAATTAAACAACAAAACTTATCCCAAATGTTTCTATCAGCTGCGGCCTATGAGGATCCTACTCTGCCACTTCGTTTTTGTTTAGGATTATCTCCGCTAATTTAATTATCATCATATCCTTTTTAACAACTTTTAACCAAGTTCTTTTAGGCCTATCACTAGTTCTTTCTTCATTAATTACTATCTTATCATTTCTCTTAATGGTTGCATTTAATGGCCTACATGACCAAATTGTCCCTGGTAATTCTCATTTTATCCTCAATAGGAGAGCAACATAACTTCCTACAGCCCATACCATATCATACTGTATATCTCTCATCCATTGTAATATTCTCATTTGTGTTACACTCTTTTTTGTACATGTTTCTTAACTGAACATTCTTATCCATAAAATTTTGTGGGTCTTATAAGTGTCCTGTGGTATTTCTCTTCAATTTTAGAGTATTTTACGATTATACATGACCCTAGAAGCACCCCTTCGCGTTAGCCATCCCTATTTGGTTCTATGGATTTCATCATAATCGATAACACTGTCTTGAATAATTACTTACGAACAGTAAATGATTACGCCTACATATTTGTTGATCATCAACGGGGGTGGAGCCACATATAAGAGGGCGATGTCAAGTGACACCACTTGACACCACTCTCTTAGATGTGACTTAATTGCATAGGCTAATTCATGACCTTAATTACAAAAGTAGCACCATGTAAATCAATTGAGTAGCCCATTAACGTTTGATAGCCCGAGCCTAAATAAAGTGATATTGTATGAAGATAATTGGTTAATTTAAAAGGTTCAATTCTGAGATACCACATGTCAAAGAGCTAGCATCAGTTTTTTGAAAAGAAAAGGAAAAAAAAGAAAAAAAAAAGAAGAAGTGGATGAACCACAACTCAGTTAGTAACTTACATTGAAAAGGATGTATTTAATAGTATTTCAAGTGAGACGATTATGCAATGATTGGTCAATTATGGTTATGTTGAGTTAAATTTATTTTTTGTATTTCATTAAAGTTTCAATTATACAGAAAAATTAGTGTGTGCGCATGGGCGTGTGTTTGTGTGACGCCACTATTATAAATTTATAATTAAAATTATGTTTAATGCATTTTTTGTTTTTTTATTATAAATCTTTTTGAGTTTGTCTCCGCCTTTCTACTTTAGAAGTAATCCCTTCACTAGACTCATCCACTGATATTATGTCGACAAATAAAGTACACCATGAGGTTTTGTCTTGAATAAGCCTAGCAAGTTATCCATAACTAGTGTAAAATAACACACTGTTTCCTATTGTCATAGGTTTACATCAAGGATTATTTCACATATGATTTCAGTAATGGACTTTTGATTATGCAACTACAAGGGCTTCAAATATGTGGATATTTTTGCTGTAAAATACTTTGCTCTCTTGACTATGCAATTACAAGACTGAATATGTGTATATTTTTGTCAGTTAAGAGTTAACTTTAATGTTTCATTCTGCAGGGCTGGGTTTATGTATTTGATCACATACTAACATTTGGGTGAGTTAAAGGAGGTATGTGAACATAATTCTTGTCGAAATCGAACAAATCTGTTTTAACTTTTAGCATTTTGATCTGGCTATATTGTGCATACCATGTAAGTTTACTTGCACATCCTGAATGTTTGCATATCGTGCTAGTACTGATTAGAGGTATACGTATTTGATAATTTGTTTGATGATGCCAATAACCTTTTGTGTCTATGTGGACAGAAACTGTGTTGAAGAAGAATGATATTGTTTAATCAAACTTGGTTAATATAAAATTAAGAAGATTAAAAATAGATATAGCTTTTAATATAGATGCAAGGTCAGCAATGAGTGTTCTGATTTCAATTAGTCTGTACCTAGGTTGCATAGGTACGGGTACGGGTATGGGACACGACAAATTTGTAAAAGTGAGGATACGGGGACACGACACGTGTGTGTGTGTGTGTGTGTGTGTGTGTATATATATATATATATAGAGAGAGAGAGAAATATGGGTATGCTTGGTACCAAGCACAAAAAGTTGTGCTTGGTAGTGAATATATATATATATATATATATATGTTAAAATTAATAATTTAAAAACCAACAATTATCTTAAGGATCTCAAGTTTCTCCTTTTTATTTTAAATTCTTTTTATTTGATTCAAGTCCATTCTCAAATTTTCAAGAAAGCAAAGGCTTTGGAACTTTGCCTTTCTATCTTCAAAAAAGGAAATACAAAAAAGAGATGCTAAGCTGAAACTATTTCAAAAATATAAAATAAAAAGAAGCTCAACTCAAACTTCTTCCCATATAAAAGTTAAGGACCCATGTGACTTATGTGCTCAGTTTGTGGCCATCCTTGCCACGAAAAGATAAATACCATCCATTCTCATGGTCAAACAAGGCCATGTGAGAGGTGAGGTCATCCTCCACTAAGTGGATAAAACATTAAGAAAAATCTATATATAGAGAGAGAGGAGAGAGAAATTGTTATAATATTGGTCTATGTCCTCAAGTCTTAGAACCCATGGATCTCAATAACAAGATTTTAAAAAAAAGTCTCAAAACCCATAGAACAAGGTCCCTCGCCAGCTTAAGAATAAGCCACAAACTTGCCCGTGTCCCTGCCGTTTGGGTACGAACCTGTACCCAATACGGATCGGACACGGGTACAGCACCCTAAGTGTCGTGTCGGGGTATCCTAGGTCTGTATGGTTAGAAAGATGTGCATCGTTTTGTGGATGGGTCACTATCCAATTGTAAATTGTAGAATATAAAGAAACGTCACGATATACCTTTAAAAGAATAAGGGTTTTTTGTACTGTTTAGGAACATTGTTATTGTCCTTAGCATCAAAATTTGCCTTTTAGCAGCCTAGATAACAGCAAATACACAACGGACAACATCAACAAGCCGTTAGAGAGGTTCATTTTATTTGATGGACAGTAAGAGCAGGCACAACATGGGTAAGGTGAAAACTAGACAGTTCAAATGCATTGTCAATATTGTATACTTATACGTTTTAACTTTTAAGAAATAGAAATGTATGACTAAGGACATATTAATAGCTGATAACTAATAACTTATGAGATACCACTTAATTGATCAAGCAAAGTAGTCTATTCTCATCATGCCTCTCTTTAAAGCATTTGTATTCTATACAAGTTTAAATATTGGATATCGAGAAAATATCAAATTGCCAAAATCCATATTGGATTGTGAATAGCAGGGAAATAACGGAGATATGTAGTAAATAACGGAGTGCCATATTGGATTGATGTGCATATATATTATAATGTCCTAAAATATAATCTTAACATACTTAATGAAATCTAAGCATGTTACAACGTAAATAATATATATTTAGGATTAGTAACCAATTATAATTAAAAAATATAAAAAGAAAAACACCTAAGCCCCTCCTAAGCTCCCTCTTAGGCACCGGGTCTGACAGCTTGTCCTCTTAGTGCTTTCTGTAACCTTGTTGGTTATTATTCGTCCAGTTATTCGATCAAATTCAACTCAATATCTCATTTAACCTTGAACGAATAAATTTAATATTCTGTTTGTAAATGAATAGAATGTAACCAAATGTGTATTCAATTCTGATTATTAAATATTCGTTTATGTTTATACTTACTAATTGATAGGTTAGATATTTTAAAAGTTTTAATTAGTTTAAATTGAAGCATAAATTTGAATGCAGCATTGCAATTTAGTGGGGAAAATAACAATTATGATGCTTGGGAGGGCAGATTTATAAATATATAATTTGAAGGATGTATATGCATAAATATCCAAAGAAATTAAGAAAGTAAAAAATGTAGTATTAGCAAGATTCGAGCAAGGACCTGCGTATTAAGAGCCGGTGGACCTTACCAACTGGCGACTAGCCTAATGAATATCCACGAACAATTAATAAATAAGCTGAATTTATATGAATCAAATATGAATGAAAATTTGATATTTGACTTGAATTCGAACCCGAATTCAGATTTTTGAATTTCACCCGAATCCGAACCTCAAATTCGATTTGATTTGGTTGTTTTCCACTCTTATTCAAAGTGATAAACCTAATAAAATACATCACAAAAAAGAATAACAAAAAAAATCAACCGAGGAAAGAATTTTAAAAAATTAAAAAACAAAAGCACAATCACATTTCGTGCTTTGCGGCACATGCCCTAGACGAGTGTTTGGGCCACCATAGGTGAGATCGTGAGGCGCCAAGGCGAGATCTTAAGGCACCTAACGGCACTCGCCTTACTAACCTTCATTGTCTAGCAATATGCATAGTGGTAAGGTACAAGATTGCCTTGCCTAAGAAGTTGAGGGCCTTGAGGCGCTAAGCGCTTCTCTTTTTAAAACACTACAAAGTTCATTTCAGCTCGTACTTAGTTAAAAACTCTGAGTATATATTGAAAAACAAACAAGTTTCTACTTCATATAGCCAACCCCTAAGAGTTTTGAGTAAAAGATTTTTTTTTTCTTGTTATATTTTTAAGGGAAACAACCAACCAACCAAAAAAAAAGAGGAAAAAAACACACCCACCCACCCACACGCACAAACTTTGCGTCCACCCTGCTGACCCAAAGATCATACTTTCACACCCATATACCAAAGATCATACTTCTACCTCTTTGTCCCTATATATATTTTTGAAAATTTCTAAACTGTATATTTTTCTTCCTCTTTATTCTCTCTTTTTCCCCTCACATTTCCATAAATTCATTCCACTCTTAATCGTTGTCTCTCATTGCCTTCCTTTGCCTCCCTCCAGGCTCAGAGTGAGGTGGTGTTGGGCTCAAAGGCAAAGGGAGGCGGGTAATGAGCGACAGAGTGGAAGTCAGTGGGGAGAGGAAGTGGTGGTGGTTGAAGGAGGAGAGCGAGAGAGAGGGTTGTTAACTTGCTACGTATTCTTGTACATTTTTTCATTTCTAGTTACGGTTCCACATTTCTTGTTGTATTTAGTGTTTCAATTTTTACGCTGTAAAATTTTACATTTCTTCATAAATTGTTGTGTTTGTTCATAAACTATTAGTTTTTTACGTGGATTATTACCTTTGTTTGTAAAAATGTTACCTTTGTTCATAAACTATTACATTTGTTCATAATTTGTTTTGAGTTGTAGGTGTGGCCTAAACAAACAGACCACCTTTGCTAAATTGTAGTAATTGTTGAGATTAGTGATAAACAACTATATTGATTTACAGGGATTATCTCAACAACAGACCTCCAGATCTGGTAAGATTTCGAGGGTGGATTTTCATAGGTCTATGGTTGCAGGGAAGCCCTATATATAGATGGGTAAAGCCATAGAATAATGCACTGCAATTCGTGAACCACAAGATCAATCTCTCTTCCATTCCTTCACGCCTATAAAATCCTTAATAAGTGACCTTTCTCAGAATGTTTACCTTTGCTCATTAAATATTATCTTTTTAGGCAGAGCGGCGGCGTCCATTTTAGGTGGAGGGAGATGGCAGTGGAGGAAGGAGAAGGAGAGGGTTGTTGTTATTAAGAGGTTGAGTGTGATGATGTGGCTGAGCGTATTTTATTGAACAATAGCTTTTTGTGGGGACAGGGTGAACTTGCAACATAGCAGGGTTTCCTTTTGTTGTTGTTGTTGTTGTTGTTGTGGGGGCGGGGGTTAGGGGTTTGAGCGTAGCATTATTTTCTAGGTTCAGGAGGCTTGAGGCAAATTTCCCTATTTTTAATAGATAAAATGTCTGTATAGTAGTATTAAATGAAATTCTATAGCTATTACCTTATCTGAGCTTGGGCTGTTCTTTATGAATGAATCTGAATATTTTTTTTCTCAATTGATCTCATGCAGGTTGCTGGACTTCATAAACTGCATTCAGATATTTACTTATATAGCAGATACTGTTTTTGTCATGAGTTGGGTAGAGAGATATGTGCGCTTTTCCTTGGTCATGGTCTGACATCTGCTTTTAGTTGGATTGAAAAAAGGGTATTCATTTCTTGTCCTTGCATCTCACTTGAGAGTAATCAAGGATTCCTTTTAAATCGGATGCCATGGAATGCAACAAAGAGGAAGCTATCAGAGCCAAAGGTATTGCAGAAAAAAGGATGCTGAACAAAGACTTCATAGGGGCACAAAAGATTGTGCTCAAGGCCGAACGGCTGTACCCTGACCTTGAACATGTCTCCCGGATGTTAACTGTTTGTGAAGTGCACTGCTCTGCTGAGGTTAAGGTCAATGGGGAGACTGATTGGTATGGAATTCTTCAAGTAGCACCTACTGCAGATGAATTAACCATCAAGAAGCAATATCGGAAGCTTGCTCTTTTACTTCATCCTGACAAGAACAAATTTGGTGGTGCTGAAGCTGCATTCAAGCTAGTGGGGGAGGCTCATAGGATATTGACCGAACGATCTAAGCGAGTACTTCACGACATGAAAAGAGGGTCTGATTTAAGAACAGTTTCTGTAAGGCAACCCACACAGCAGGCAAATAGAACTTCATCCGCTAAGAAGCAACCTGGAGTTACTAAGTCTAATGGTTTTGAGCAGAAGCAATCTGCTGCGTCCACAAGCAGTCAAACTTTCTGGACTATGTGTCCTTCCTGTGGTGTAAGATATCAGTATTATCAGACTATGATTAATCGAGCAATCCGTTGTCAGAGTTGCAGGAAGCCCTTTGTTGCCTATGAATTTAATGCGCGTGGGATGCCATCTGCAGCAGCATCAGCTCATTGTCCAGCACAGAGAGGTAACCTCCAAACTGGCTCAAATGAAGACGTTAAAGTAAAATGGGATGGTGGAACAGCAAATGATGTAAAGTTTGAAAATGTGACATCTCATGAAATGAACAATAAAGAGCAAGCACGAAAATCTTTGGCAGGATTTAGAAGTCAGAAAAGAGGAAGAAAGAGGAAAGTGGAATCCAGTGAGTCCAAGAGCAGCGACAGTGATATAGTTGTTGACGTTGATTGTCCTTCAGGACAGAATGCTGGGAGAACTGGCAGTCATCCACGGCGCTCAACCAGGCAGAAGCAAAATATTTCTTACAGTGAAGAAAAAGGGGATGATGATGATGATGGTGGTGATTCTGATGACGACTTTGTAACTCCAAAAAATAAAAAGTCAAGAACTGGAGGTACATCAGTAAGTGTAGCGCAGAATGATCCAAAATTTTGGGGAGGAGAAGCCAATGGTGTCAACAAACAATCTAGTGGAGAGGCTGCGCATTCCATAGATGGGGGCTTGAATGCTGGTGCCTGTTCAAAGACTGATGCTAGTGTTGATTTTAGCTCAGAGATTTCACCAGATCCAGACTCATTTTCCTACCCTGATCCAGAATTTTATGACTTTGAAAAGGAAAGGGATGAAAGTAAATTTGATGTAGATCAGATCTGGGCTATCTATGATACTCTAGATGCTATGCCGCGTTATTATGCATTGATTAGGCATGTCGCAGGCCCAAAATTCAGTCTGAAGTTCGATTGGTTAGAGTATGATCCTACAGGTAAAGCTGAGACTCGGTGTGAAGGGGGTTTGCCTATTGGGTGTGGTAGCTTCAAACTGGGGAAGTCTGAGCAAACAAAGGAACGCCTCATGTTCTCTCATCTTATGCCTTGGACAAAAGGTGCAAATAAGAATGCATATGACATATTTCCTAGAAAAAGTGAAGTTTGGGCAGTGTTCAAGAATTGGGATATAGAATGGAGCTCTTGTGTAGACAGTGATAGGCGTTATGAATATGAAATCGTAGAAGTAGTATCAGATTTCACAGAGGGTGATGTGATCAGAGCCATTCGTTTAGTTTGGATACAAGGATTTGTAAGCTTGTTTGTGCAATATACAGACAATGCATCATCGACCCTTCTCAAGATACAGATGAAAGATATACTTCGGTTTTCACATAAGATTCCCTCGTATAGATTGAAAGGAAATGAAAGAGGAGATATTCCTAAAGGTTCCTTGGAACTTGACACTGCCTCTTTACCTCATAACTTTATGCAGATGCTTCCTTCCGTTACTCTTGAGAATTTGAAGTCGAGAGCTCCAGATTTGAATGACGTATGCAATGGGTTGCACTCTAAGTTAACTAATACAACCAACCGCAATAGCTCTGAATTGAACAGGGTTTCTGTTGAGGAGTTGCAAAAAACCCATACAGACCCTGAGCCATTATCAACAAGCCCTAACTGGTATGAGTATCCTGATTCAGAATTCCATAACTTTGACGAAGAGAGGTCGATTGATAAGATTGAAGAAGGTCAGATTTGGGCATTTTATAGTGATATTGACAAGAACCCTAAGTACTATGGTCGGATAACCAAGTTAGAAACAAAGAATTTTAAGGCGCACATTGCATGGCTTGAGGGATGTTGTGATCAAGTACAGGAGAGGCTTTGGTATAAAGAACAACTAACCGTTGGCTGTGGGACCTTTAAGCTTGTACGAGACGAAGATATAATGGATTCAACAGATGCATTTTCTCACATGGTGCAGGCAAAACCAACCAATAGAAAGAATTACTACATCGTCTATCCTAACCTCGGTGAAATTTGGGCTGTATATAAGAACTGGAGCCTTAGGTGGTCGATTTCTGACATGGAGAATTGTGAATTTGATTTGGTAGAAATCCTTGGTGTCAGTAGCGCTGGGTTCAAAGTTATGGTATTATCGAAAGTAAATGGCTACAGAGCTGTTTTTATGGGTTCTCCGGTGATAATGGAAATACCAATGGCTGATCGTTTGAAGTTTTCTCATAGAATTCCTGATTTCAGGCTTACAGAAGAGAGAGGAGGAAAGCTACGAGGATACTGGGAGCTTGATCCTGCTTCTGTACCTGATATCCTACTGTTTGCAGATTCCAGCTGAAGGCAAACAAGTCATGTACACGGCCTCTTTGCTTATCAGATTGGATATCAAGATTCTAAGTTCAGAGGGGTGAGAGTAGGCTTTTGTTATTCACGTGTTGTTGTGGTTAAAGTGGTCTTATGTAGAATGTATGTATACTGTGACCTCTTTCTGGAAGTGGTGCCTGATGCTGCTTTTTTGGGGTGGGTGAGTTTCTGGTTGCGGGTGGGCATGTGAACAAGGTTACTTGCTTCGTCAGATTTAGTATTTACAGTTACTGGTTTAGGTTTCATATTTTCATATCCAAGTTTGCTAACTATTGCTAGTTTTTGTATCAAATTTGCTACTTGTTTAGATCTCGGGGACTATGTTGGGGAAAAGCCGACAGGTTTTTTTGGATACCCTTTTTATTTTATTTTATGTTGGGACTTTAGACAACCTGAAAACAGTTTCCTTTTCCCCCACCTCGTTTTCTTATGCTCAGCTTTCAATATCGATTAGTGCCTTTTTTTTTGTGGGAAAATGGCTGTGGCGTTCGGCTACTGCTTTTTTAATAGCTTATAATTGAGCTGTGCATTTTCTTAGAATTGTCATTTCCTTTCTTGTTTGATGAGGTACGATTGTACGTTGTTTGAACGGGTGATCTCTGCATGTATATGACCTTGAAATTTTTGTTCGACTGCCTTCGATTTTATTGTGAACGGTGGCTGTCCGTGATTTTCTTTGAGACTTTGACATCAGTGATGGGCCTTTTCGCTATACCCAGTGCTGGTTTCATTATTAGCCGATTACAGCTAGCCTCAAGTGCTGCTCAGCTCTGAGACTTCTTTGTAGTGGGTAAAAGATCTGAGGTTCAAATACGGCTTAGTGCTTGTACCATGTAACTTGTTCTCTCCACACACAAAAGGAGGAGGAGAAGGAGATTATGTCTAGGCTTTTCTCGAATAGTGCTCGGTGCTACCTAATCCATTAGAGGAACTTAATTAATGATCATACGATGCTCTTTTTTTTTAATTAAAAGATTATGGGATAACTTGCCTGTTTGAATTAGCCTCTCATGTTAGGCTTAGTGAAAACAATCAACCAATAGCATTGGCCAGAAGAAGAAGAAGAAAGAGATTATGTCTAGGCTTTTCTCAAATAGTGCTCGATGCCACCTAAACCTATGTTAGCTCACCATACAATGTTTGAAATTTCTCTGTATGTATACTTTTCATCTATTTTCTTAATTAATAAATTCCTCGGGTGTTTCGCCCTGGTTACTTAAAGCATGTTTAGCAACTGGTCAAAATGGCTTATAAGTCGTCGCAGCAACATGTCGACAACCAACTTATTTTGGCAGATCAAAAGAATAAGCTTTTGGCTTATAAGATCAAAAGAATAAGCTTTACTAACCTACCTTTTATTTTCTGTGGCTTATAAGATACAAAGTTTGACCAAGTAAATGACAAGTTACCCCCTCAACATTTTGAACTCTTGTAAACTTGGTTTTTGTTATAGTCATTTTAGTGCTGAAAAGTAATCTCCAATCAATGACAGACAAATATCTCACATTATGCGTAATCGAGCCAACACTTCAAAATAACCCAAGACCTAGCTCGGACAACTCGACACGCCGACATCTCGCAAGGACGACTCAAAAGACATTGCATGTCGACCCTTGGCTAGGTCGACTCTCTGATCAACCTACTCGACCGACCATTCGGCAGACATCTTGCGAAGGCGACTCAAAAGACGGTACTTCTCGACCACCAGACGAGTAGAAAGGCGACGAAATACATCGAGCCTTGAGCCCCTTCCCGCATACTGACAGCTGATCACCTCACAATAAATGCCATTAAATGCATAATCGGCGTCATCATTTCTCTGCTCCCAATAGTCTTTAAGACACATCAGACCATGTCAACACCGCACGCCTTCAATCACTTCATGTTAAATGCTAAAATGACTTCTTCTCCACTCATCAGCTAACACTTGTAAAGCAGATGCTGACATGACCGCTAGCCCATACTCGGTCGAAATTATCATTCTACCCTTCTACTACCACTATAAATAGGGGTACTAATTTTAACATGAAGGTAAAATCTAATCTATATCCACTGTGCTTAAGAACTACTACAGTTCATTTACTTCTCCACTTAAGTAAATCACTAACTTGATCGTCGGAGGAACAACTGCGGAACCTAACATCGCCCTCTTACGATTTGCTACATGTGCAAGGAAGAACAACCCATCTCAGAACCGGGCATTCAGAGGGTTAGAGGATCTCCGTCAACCTAATATTTCAATCTCATTGACTGTTTGATATCAGCCATCAATAGTTTTATTAAATAGTTAATAGTCAAATAAATAAATAAATACTAAATTAAAATCGTAAGTATGTTATAAATATATTTAATTTAAATTATCAAGAAAACTTGTATTGATAATGCTCTAATGTTTAAATTTAGAGCTATGCCCTTTCTGGTCATTTTGATAATAATCATAAATTATAATCCACCCATTTATCAAATACTATCCTATTAAAAGCAAGTTATAATCTATTTTTTTTACTAAACACTTTGGATTATAATCCACTTGACATATAATTCACAAATTATGAATTATAAACCAAGTTTCCAAACATGCCCTTAAAAAACAATGCTTTAAATTGCATGCAAGTCCAAAATGCTTTGGGGGAGAAGCTAACTGTGATAGACTTCAGAACGGACCTCATATGAGCATAGAGACAATCTATAAAATGGTTGGACTTGAAATGTACAGTGACATATTAAGCAGCAATTTTTACAACTAGTAGGCGGTAAAAATCTTACAATGATATATTTATTACTTATATAAACGATTGTAAAAACTTCATATATTCATATATTTGGGCATTTGGTCTGGTCTCTGGTGGTATGATTCTCGCTTAAGGGTGCGAAAGGCCCCGAGTTC